TCAACTAGTTAGCACGCAATAAGACTTGATGCCAAGGAATTTTTTTTATAGGAGCGGGGGCAAACGAGCTTGTGGCTCACCTGATGGTAAGTGACTACCGCCGCCCATGAACAACTGCAACACCAAGGGAAATGCAGATACGTTGTCGGCTTTTTCAAAAGGAGTGCGCTCTTTTCTTGAAGGAGATTTTTATATGGGATGTCGTACGGCATCGACAAGGCATGGTGCTGTCACCGCAACGTATAGTACAGTTTCACTCTAACTCTCTTGTATTAATTTAAAAAGTTAAGAATTAATATTTTACACTAAAACCAACAATATGTAATTTGTATAAATACCGATTTCAACTGGAATTTGATGCTGACAAAAAGAAATCAATTTAATTGTTCTCATTAAAATATTCTGAGCGTTCAAGCAAAATCAATATCTTTCACTGAACGAGCTTCGTAAATATCTTCGTAACGTGATACCGGGCGTGCGGCGAGTCGGTCATTAGATCTATCGACACTAACGGGACACTAGCGATTCTATCACGACCGTGATGTTTGAACTGTCGATAAAATCACACCACTATCTTGTCACGAGATTAACTTCGCTGCTGTTTCATTCAAAGAAACACTTCGTACGTATTAAACGATCTGCAAATCAAGGGTGACCAACTGCAGATTAAAGCATGGATACAAAGAGTAGTTAAGTAATTACGTTATGCGTAGATGATCTCCAGTACGTATAAATATACCTTTTTTTAAACTGAATGACAAATGAAAATACACTTCACCAGATGCATACCATCTGGTGAAGTGTATTTTGTATGTATTTGACACCTGCAGCCCATTGAAAACTTTAACCAACTCCAAACAATGATTGCCACAGATGCGTTGTCAACTCACAAGAATAGATAGATGGCAGAGCCATGCTGCAGTTTTTTTTTTTATAGGATAAGGGTGACAAACGAGCAAACAGTCCACCTGATGGTAAGTGGTTTCTGCGGCCCATAGACATCTACATCTATCCTCTGTTACAAATCAAAATGTAGATGCGTTGTCACCCGTGAGGACTAAGATGGAATGCCTCATTTCCAGTAAAAAGGACCTCCGGCCACCTACACTCACCAAGCGAAACGCAGAGGTAAACCTCTACTTCACGCTGGTTTTCTGTGAGGTCGTTGTACTACCCCAATTCGAGCCGGCCCATCCGTGCGACAGCAAAAGCTGCCGCGTGGCTCTACCACTGTTTAAGTTATAAAGTATAACCCTCACGCACCTAATACGTTTTTATAATGTCCATAAAACTAATTGTTACCCTACACCGGATAAGGTTTCATCACAGACTGTCTAATCCAGTTCACTCTGTTATTGCGAATAGTGAAAATTATATTTATTTAACGGTTCGCGAACTAGTTCCGAGTTAACTTTACTGTAAGCTTAGAAAATTTCTTACAATAAAATTAACGATTAATAAATCCACCGAGTGGTTGCGCCGTAAAATAATTATCATACCATGAATGTGGTGTCTTACCTAAGTGTTGACTGAGGATATGTCCGAAAGAACAGATGGCGGAAAGCATTCGCTATCACCATAATACCATAATTTAATTATTACGTTTTTTTTTTATATAGAATAGGGTGACAAACGTGCACACAGTCCACCCGATAGTAAGTGGATGCTCTGGCTCATAGACATCTAAATTCATCTTCAATTAATAATCAAAATATAGATACGTTGTCACCCCTGAGGACTAAGATGAAATGCCTCGTTTCCAGTAAAAAGCGTGTCCTGTTCTCTACACTCACAATACGAAACACAGCAGTGTTAAGCTGTTATTTCACGCTGGTGTTCTGTGAGAGCGTGGTCCTTCTCCGGTCGAGCCGACCCATTCGTGCTACAACCATAGTATAGTTGCAGGGTTGCTATACAACGTATAAACGTATTCTTAAAAAAAAATTAAAAAAATATTGTACCATTAGCACGAGTTTTAGACATTAACCTTATCATATCGATATCGACAAAAATTGTATGGAAATATGACAAAGTCACTCGATGACGGAACGAATCCTATACGATAGAAATGTAATGTTCAGGGGGCAGTTCATTTTTACCAGTGTAAGTGTAGTGATTTTCCCCATAATAAGACTAGGTCAAAGTAAAAGTTTAAGCAAGTATATATATAGCCCAAATAGGTAGTCAGCAAATTCAAGTCAAATGGTACATTCTAGACAGGTCTATATCCATCAGTGTATTAAAATGGCACCTAAACATACAGTTAACAAGTGTTAAAATTTAAAATTTTATACAACAAACCGACTTAAATATAAATTATTAAGGATAACTCAAAAACTTCAACGACCTTATGCCGGCATGCCCAGCGCAGCAACTCATTGCTAAGGCACTGGCCTTAGCAATGAGTTGCTGCGCTGGGGGCCGCGGGTTCGAATCCCACACGGAACAAGTATTTGTATGGCCTACAAATAATTATTCCGGGTCTGGATGTTTGTCCTTGTGCAATTTGTGTTTGTAAGCTGCCTCCATGATACAGAAGAAAACCCTGGGGGGGGGGGGGGGTAACGTTTTATAAAAAAAGAGAGAGACCCCGATCAAATTTATATGGGACCACATGAGAAGCACCAACTTACAACTAAAAATACCTAGTTAAGTCATAAGTATTGTCACACAGTAAAAACTTTTCTTTTAGAATGCTGGCCACAAAAAAGTTTATTGAATTCGAATTTCGAATTGTTCATGAAAATAAAACTGTATACTTTTTGGAATTTTACTCATTTTTAAATATGGAGTGGACGTTTAAAGAAGACCGTGTTGCAGTTATTGCGTTGCATCGTTGCGGTTACGCGCCAATTCAAATTTTTGACATACTGAAAAATTTGAATATAACCAAACATCTACATCTGGCAGACAATGAAACTATGGTGAGTTTTGATGTGCAGTCTCTGTTCACATGCCTACCTGTTGAAGACTGCATCTCGATTGTTACTAGAAGGCTAGAGGAAAACAACATGCCCGTAGAATATGCAGTATTACTCAGACACTGCCTTACCTATTGTGGAAGGAGGAGTTCTACAAGCAAGTAGATGGTGTGGCGATGGGCTCACCTGTATCTCCCATTGTTGCCGATATATTCATGGAGGACTTTGAGGAGAAAGCCCTGCTTACTTCTCCCATAAAGCCAAGATTCTACAAGCGGTACGTAGACGACACTTTCACAATTCTACCTTTAGATAAAGTAACTGCATTTTTAGACCATCTTAACTCCTTAAATTCTAAAATTCAGTTCACAATGGAGTTAGAGGCAAACAATTCTTTAGCTTTTCTAGATGTGTTAGTAATTCGGAATCCTGATAACACCTTGAGCCACACTGTGTATAGAAAAAAGACCCATACAGATAGATATTTAAACGGTGATTCTCACCACCATCCTTCACAGTTAGCTACCGTGGGTAAATCTTTGTTACAGAGAGCACGAGGGATCTGTGACAGTAAACACCTGGCCGCCGAGCTCCAACACGTCAAGCAAGTTTTGCACGACAATAAGCTTCGGGTCCCGCGCCTACGTCACAGTGAACGAGTGAAGCCGGCCACAGTCGAGCGAGTGCCTGCTGTACTGCCATATGTCAGAGGTGTCACTGACAAGATTGGCTACATCTTGAAGCGTGCTTCCATTAAAACATATTTCAAGCCGCCGAAGAAGATTAGTCAGTTTTTACCATCAGTCAAGTGTAATATTCCTCTGCAAGATGCAGGAGTGTACAAGCTGGATTGTGAATGTGGTCTCTCTTATATAGGACAAACTAAAAGATCCATAAAAACCCGCGTTAAAGAACACATAGCTGATGTGAAGAATAGACGCTCCGGGAAGTCTGCAGTCTGTGAACACGTACAGGATCGCCCCCGTCACTACATTAGATTTGATAGACCACAAATCCTCGCTAAAGAACACCGATTCCTTCCAAGGATGATTCGCGAGGCTATTGAAATCAAAAAACATCCTAATTTCAATAGAGAAGATGGCTGGGTGCTACCATCTGCTTGGGATCCCATAATTAATAAAATTAAATCCCAACCCAAGCATACAACTGCAAGACTTCATGATACTGTAAGTTCATACTGCGTAGATCGGAACAAAAATTAATAATTTTTAATCTGGAGGTAGCCGTGGTTAACTATGACATTGGGACGTCATACACCTCAGTCCCCCCCGTGACCATGGGTGCTGTAAAGTGCTTGAAACGTCGGGAAAGTAAAATAAGTTAATATACGCGATAAAATCCGTAAAATTAGTTTTATTTAAATGTGTAGTGTTCGCGTAAATATAAGAAATCATTATGTGAACCAGTACGGACTGGTAATTGCAAATGAAATTCGCCGATTAGAAGATCTCGTGACTAAGCGCGCAAGATATATAACAGCATTAAACTTTTTAAAACGCTGTCGTGATAATAATATCATCCCTACGTGTGTCAAAATATCCACTAAAAAGGACATTCGAGGAAGCGCTAAGATCTTAAATGAGGCAAGTAAAAAGTTGTTACGAACGGTAATCCAACAAAAACGCTTCGATCTACATACCATAAACAAATCCATAGACACATCATTCAGTGATTTAAAGGCAGTTTTAACGACATTTGATTATAATGTTTGCATCGAAACGTTAAATAAACGAGAAATTAATAAATATAATGAATGCAAAAACAAACATATAATAAAATATCAAAAATTAACGACCAAATTAAATGTCAAACATCTGTGTCGACGTGAGAACGAAACGCAACCGTCGACTAGGAACGCGGATCATAGATTAAACGCGGTCTATAATCTGTCTAAACAAACTCTGGATGATGCAACAATTAGAGTATTATCGAAAGGTCTTAATTTTGCTATAACACCGAAAAAATTACCGTACGAACAAATTATCTTAGTGTCGAGGACTGTTTATTTAAAAACAAAATGCAAAAGGAGGATTTGGAAGCGATATGTCAAGACATTTCGTCTATGTTACGTCGAAGTTCAGCGCCAAAACCGAATCTACCTAAAGACGAATTCAAAGCGTTGACTAACCTACGCAATAAACCAGAACTCACGATTCTCCGCGCAGATAAGGGAAATGCCACGGTAGTTATGGATACGTCAGATTATAATTCTAAAATACAAGAACTTTTGTTGGATGCAAGTACGTATAAAAAGGTTAAAAATGACCCAACAAATAACACACTTAAAACAACTAGTGATCTCATAAAGAAACACTCCGAAAAATTAAATCTAGACGTAAAATCGATAATACCTACGTGTGCTAAACCACCGAAGTTGTATGGGTTACCAAAAATACACAAGCCCAATGCTCCACTACGTCCTATAGTGAGCCAAATCGATTCACCAACTTACAGATTGGCTCAACACTTAGCGAATATACTCTCACCGCTCAAGGGACATACAAGAGCACACACAAAGGATTCCTACCATTTTGTCAGCGAGATTAAAGACCTACATCTGGCAGACAATGAAACTATGGTGAGTTTTGATGTGCAGTCTCTGTTCACATGCCTACCTGTTGAAGACTGCATCTCGATTGTTACTAGAAGGCTAGAGGAAAACAACATGCCCGTAGAATATGCAGTATTACTCAGACACTGCCTTACATCTGGCTACCTATTGTGGAAGGAGGAGTTCTACAAGCAAGTAGATGGTGTGGCGATGGGCTCACCTGTATCTCCCATTATTGCCGATATATTCATGGAGGACTTTGAGGAGAAAGCCCTGCTTACTTCTCCCATAAAGCCAAGATTCTACAAGCGGTACGTAGACGACACTTTCACAATTCTACCTTTAGATAAAGTAACTGCATTTTTAGACCATCTTAACTCCTTAAATTCTAAAATTCAGTTCACAATGGAGTTAGAGGCAAACAATTCTTTAGCTTTTCTAGATGTGTTAGTAATTCGGAATCCTGATAACACCTTGAGCCACACTGTGTATAGAAAAAAGACCCATACAGATAGATATTTAAACGGTGATTCTCACCACCATCCTTCACAGTTAGCTACCGTGGGTAAATCTTTGTTACAGAGAGCACGAGGGATCTGTGACAGTAAACACCTGGCCGCCGAGCTCCAACACGTCAAGCAAGTTTTGCACGACAATAAGCTTCGGGTCCCGCGCCTACGTCACAGTGAACGAGTGAAGCCGGCCACAGTCGAGCGAGTGCCTGCTGTACTGCCATATGTCAGAGGTGTCACTGACAAGATTGGCTACATCTTGAAGCGTGCTTCCATTAAAACATATTTCAAGCCGCCGAAGAAGATTAGTCAGTTTTTACCATCAGTCAAGTGTAATATTCCTCTGCAAGATGCAGGAGTGTACAAGCTGGATTGTGAATGTGGTCTCTCTTATATAGGACAAACTAAAAGATCCATAAAAACCCGCGTTAAAGAACACATAGCTGATGTGAAGAATAGACGCTCCGGGAAGTCTGCAGTCTGTGAACACGTACAGGATCGCCCCCGTCACTACATTAGATTTGATAGACCACAAATCCTCGCTAAAGAACACCGATTCCTTCCAAGGATGATTCGCGAGGCTATTGAAATCAAAAAACATCCTAATTTCAATAGAGAAGATGGCTGGGTGCTACCATCTGCTTGGGATCCCATAATTAATAAAATTAAATCCCAACCCAAGCATACAACTGCAAGACTTCATGATACTGTAAGTTCATACTGCGTAGATCGGAACAAAAATTAATAATTTTTAATCTGGAGGTAGCCGTGGTTAACTATGACATTGGGACGTCATACACCTCAGTCCCCCCCGTGACCATGGGTGCTGTAAAGTGCTTGAAACGTCGGGAAAGTAAAATAAGTTAATATACGCGATAAAATCCGTAAAATTAGTTTTATTTAAATGTGTAGTGTTCGCGTAAATATAAGAAATCATTATATAACCAAAAGATTCGTTTATCGTACCATCAAACGATACAATGAAGACTCTAGTGTAGATGACAGGTCAAGAAGTGGTCGCCCTCGGTCTGTTAGGACTCCAGCAGTGATAAAAGCTGTGAAGGCGCGAATTCAAAGAAATCCCAAAAGTAAGCAGAAACTGTTGGCCCTTCAGATGGGGTTAAGCAGAACCACGGTGAAAAGGGTGTTAAATGAAGACTTAGGGCTTCGGGCATATCGAAGAAAAACAGGACATCGTTTGAATGCTCGTCTAATGGACCTGAGACTGAAGAGATGCCGCGCTTTGTTGAAGCGGTACGCGGGAAAAAAATATCGGGAAATTGTTTTTTCGGATGAAAAAATTTTTACCGTAGAAGAGAGCTACAACAAACAAAATGACAAGGTGTACGCACACAGTAGTGAAGAAGCGAGCAACCGTATTCCGCGTGTCCAACGAGGTAATTTTCCATCCTCGCTCATGGTATGATTGGGAGTTTCTTATTGGGGCTTAACAGAGGTACATTTTTGTGAGAAAGGTGTAAAAACGAATGCAGTTGTGTATCAAAATACAGTCCTGACGAACCTTGTGGAACCTGTTTCTCATACCATGTTCAATAACAGGCACTGGGTATTCCAACAAGATTCGGCGCCAGCTCATAGAGCGAAGAGCACACAAGACTGGCTGGCGGCGCGTGAAATCGACTTCATCCGGCACGAAGACTGGCCCTCCTCCAGTCCAGATTTGAATCCGTTAGATTACAAGATATTGCAACACTTGGAGGAAAAGGCGTGTTCAAAGCCTCATCCCAATTTGGAGTCACTCAAGACATCCTTGATTAAGGCAGCCGCCGATATTGACATGGACCTTGTTCGTGCTGCGATAGACGACTGGCCGCGCAGATTGAAGGCCTGTATTCAAAATCACGGAGGTCATTTTGAATAAACTTTAGTGTCATAAGAATCTATGTTTTGTTAAGTTCATTTTGGTATATAAATGGTTACATAATGAATAAACTTGTTTCAATTATTTTATATTAAACATGTGACAGAATTTATGACCTGACTAGGTATATTATTTATTATAAACACCAGCTTTATAATAAAGAATCATCAAAATCGTGTTACCTTTTTACACATTAAAAAAATACATTCGAATTGACTACCTCCTACTTTTTGAATTCGGTTAAAAATAAGAATTAATGGAATCAATTTCTTTGAATGGTTCCTATTCCTAATGGTATAGTGATAAAAGGCGATTTAACATATAAATGTTATCCAGCCCGTCTGCAAAGCTTAGATACAACGATAATAATACACCATAATGAACTATAATGCATTAATGTGCACAAGAAATAAATATTATTAATAATGGGCAGTGGGAAAATATTATATATAATTTACTTCCTTTTAATACCAACATTAAAAAAAATATAATTAACTTAAAAACAGATACTTAATCACGATTACCAACTGATAAACACCACAAACGGTGATTATTCAATCGAAATCATCTGTCAAAAATGTCCAACTGTATCTCGTATTTCGATAACCGCGACACACTAACGGCTCTAGTAATTTATTGGAATTTAGCGGTTAAAGAATGTAACGCGTTCGAAAACAAAACATCATGCCTGTTGAGCGTCCGTAATTAATTTATGAATTATTTAATTTAGTGGTTTCATAGTTTATATTATAGACACGTGCATGGGCGGGAGTTCGTTACTACGCGTATGTATTTTTGATACTTACACAAAACATATTTTAAATAGAACATAATTTCATTTATGACAAATGAATATAATAATAAAGGTTGTGTGAAAGAAATAGCTTTTAGCGATAAGACCGCCCGTGTTTTATTTTTTCTCTTATTTTGATTTTGGCGTGTGCAATAAATAATTATCTATCTAGATATAAATAAATAATAATAATAGTGATAAAATAATTACCGGAATTTTTCGCTTTTAATTTTAATTTATTTTTAATTGTTTACGGTTTGATTGATTACGAGTATAATCACGGAAGAATATTGGCTTACTTCTGAACTTTAGTACTTTAAATTACTGTACCTTAGTCAGCCACGGAGTAATAAAAAACCTTGACTAATAAATCATATTATATAAAAAAGCTAAGGGCAACATCTATCTAAATTTTAACATATAAATATTAGGTTAGTTTTACAAACTTGCTGATGTGCATTACAAAATTGATGCGAAGCTTTCATTATATATGTGAAAAAGTTACAGGAGACGTTTGGATGTTTGCTAAATGGTCAAATATGTTTGAAATGTTTAACACAGTAAAAATTAAATAACCTCGAGGAAATAAAAATTTCTTTATTTCTGTTTCTAAGCAGCGATAGATGTGTGCAGGGGCTAACATTTACATAAAAGTATAAAAAAACTGGGATACAACCTACTTGACGAGCGTGAAAATTACGGGTTAAAAACAGAACATACACTAAGCGTTCTCGTTATTTTTTCTCGTTTCACGAAGAATGTCTATCGCTGCGGATAAGCCAAAGACTGCGTTCTTGTGCTAGTTTTTGAGAATGCTGTGTTCATCAGTGGTTTACTTAAGGTACGCGGTAATAATTGTGATCTTTTGAGGATGCTCACTAATGGTTTACTTATAGCTTGAAATAATAATCAAGGTTTTCATACATTTGATTAATTCACGATCCTTACAAACAAGTAAGTAAGGTAAGGTTTGTAAGGATCGTGACACTTGGCGATCTGTTCTCTCTGGCTACCCCGTCAGGGATTGTGCGTGAAGATAAGTTAAGTTAAGTGATTAATTCAAATATCAAAACATTTTGCACGCGCTAGCCGACGTGTGTGTGTAGACCTGGCGCTAGTTGGAGATTATTTTAAGTTGACGCTACCGGACTCCATCAGTCCTGTTGGCTACCTATTAGCACACACCCCTCTTACTTTTAAAGTTTATAAATAAGCAATTATAACAGATTAATTAACACTTTATAATACAATATTATTATTATAAAATACAAATCAGACAATAAACAAATATTATCTGACAAACTGTTATCACAGTACTATGTTTTGTTTTTATGGAATAGGGAGTGGAGGGAGGGACAAATGAGAATATAGTCTGCCTGATGGTAAGTGAATGCTGTAGTACATAGACACTTACATCAATAGTCGATTAAGAATCAAAATGCAGATACGTCGTCACCCCTCACTAAGATTTAATGCGTCATTTCCAGTAAAAAGGATCTACGGTTCGTCGGAAAAACAGCAGCGTAAACTTGTTATTTTACGCTGGTCTTCTGTGAGAGCGAGGTCCTTCCCCGATCGAGCCGACCCATTCGTACATACATAAACGTAATACACACTCACGCCTGTCACCCAGAGGGGTAGGCAGAGACTATGGACTCCCATTTGGCATGATACTGACACACCTCTCTCGCTTCCTTTCCTATATGTCCATATACCTACGCATACACGCTTGTCGGTTAAAGGTACTCTTGATTTGGCCCATTTTCAATATATTGCCAATTTGGTCGATAAACTTTCGCCTAGGGCGTCCCTTCATTACTTTGCCGTTCACCTCTGCTCTGCAACATAAATTTGCTTTGTCACTCTTTGCCATTCGTACTACAAGTAATATAGCTGCAGCATGGCTTGACCACGTAAAATTACTTCGGTATAAATTTGCTTATATTTGTTATTCTGATTCTGACATAAATAAACCAGTGCCGTATTCAAGTGCGTAAGCCGAGTTCCGTTAAGTTCTATTCAGTTTATGGACTCCACTGATTGTACAATAACTTTAACATTAAGATGATTTGCCATGTCGAACTTAACTTTGCGAAAATATTACTTTAGAGATGGTAAATTTGTTTTAGATTACCCACGCCCACTCTTAGGGAGACGTGGTAGTTCAGGGGCTAACCGCTCGCTGTAAATTTCACAGTACGCGAACAACCCGGGTTCGATAACCGCCGGCACCAATGAAATTGTTAATTTCAATTTTAAGTGCTGATTTACCACGTGCTAGGTGGTGAAGAAAAACATCGTGAGGAAACCTGCATGTCTGAGAAATAAGAAAAAATATTTCGAGACATGTGAAGTTCGCCAACACGCATTGGGGCAGCGCGGTGGACATTTCCTTGCCCTAAAACCCTCTCAGCATTCAGAGGAGGCCTGTGCCCCGCTGTGGGACGTATTTATAGGTTGTAACTTTAACTAACTTTTAAGTCTTAGAGATGGGAGCAAAGTTCGATTTTATATCGTAGGACTACCTATCTGCCCCGGTTTCGCACGAGTGATTGGATTGGCTTAACAGCAGCACCACCTACCGACTAAAGCCATGAAATATATCCAGGTGATCCCATGAGTAAAGCATAAAAATTTCATTAAAATCGGTCAAGTCAAGCGGTTAAGTCTATGTGGAGAAGAATTACGAATGCGTGCAAATATTATAAATGTGGAATGTGGATTTGAATCTCGGAGCGGGCCAAAAAAAATCAGTTATTGAGTTTTTCTGTCAACAAATTCTCCTTAGTTGCTCTGACTCAGAAATTGCCAGTGTTTCACCGCCGTGCTTCAGCAAGTACGTAAAGTCGTTGGTCCTGCGGCTAGTCCTCCTTTCGGTCGTGTCGGTTTACCGTCCTATTGAACTGTGAGAGTGAGGGAACATAGAGTGCAGCTGTCTTCGCGCTCGAGCACTCCTGTCCTGCACATATGGGTGGTCGCCGTTAAGGCCGGCCGCTATGACCAAAATTCAGTCTGGAGGATATGAAAGGTAATGAAGACATTGAAGTCTCGACACTAAAGGAGTGGTAGCGTGACCCCAGTAAGCGGAGCACAGGGCAGATTACTACTGCCCTGTGCTCCTTAAGTTAAGTATTACCTTTAAAAAAACAGAATTATCTTAATTGGTTCACAATTGATCAAGATATCGTGTTACATATACAAAAACAATTTG